ACTGTGACCCTTGATCAGCTAATCATGCATACCAGGTTGTGGGTGGTTGCGACTCTGGTTAGCTTATCTTGCTGAAGCACCCTAACATTTGAGGAGTGGTCTTATCTTGCTTTTGCTTAACACCCAGGATGTAGTACAAGCCAAAAATTATGGAAAATTACTGTGAGTAAGGGCTTTTTGAAAATGCCATATAAACCCCTGGCTTTGAGTGCTCTGGGTCCTTGTGGAGACCCACTGCGTTGGGCAGACACTTGGACCCCAGCTAGCTGGAAATAAACCTCACTGTGTGACTTGCATTATCGTGAGTGTCTTCTATTTGAGAGGTGGCTGAATCCGAACCCTAACACAGTCAATACTGATATTACCTATATACACCTAAAAATGTATTACCTGGACTTATGGAACATAATATTAAGTTCTAAACTAAATTATATCATATTGTAAGAATAGAAATAGGTTAGCATAAGAGTAGACATCTTAAGGGCCTAGAAGCCATTTTCTGAGTGTGTGTTAAAAAGAAAAACTGAAACTGGGTAAGGCCTTGAAAAACAAGTTAATCAATCATGAACACCGGAATAAGGCAGTGGTGACCCTTGGTCAGCTAGCCTTGGTCAGTTAATCCTAAATACCAAGCTTATCGTGCGAAACCACCCTAACAATTGATGAGTGGTCTTATCTTGCTCTTGCCTAACCCCAGGATGTATGTCTTGCAAGAATAATGTATAGCTGTGAAAAATTACTATGAGTTAAGTGCTTTGAAAATGCTATATAAACCCTTGGCTTTGGGTGCTCGGGGTCCTTGTTGAAACCCACTGTGTTGGGCAGACACTTGGACCCCAGCTAACTGGAATAATAATAAACCTCTTGCTTGTTGCATCGATCTGCCGTGGCCTTCATCTCTTCACTGGGGGGAAGCGCAGAATGGAATAAGGCCGTTGGGTCTTACAATATCATGAAGATATGGTCACTGAAAAAAGAAGATATTGTGTGACAAAATACATACTAAATGGGTGCAAAGGCTACTTCAAAAATGAAGATAATTTATTTATACATAATTCAGCCAAAACTTGTCTTAGAAATGCAATTGAATTTAAAAGATATGTGTATTTACTGAGGAAGGTAAGGGGCATTGTGCTCTGGGTCTGTGATGAATCCCCTGGAGTTGGGGAGGATTGCGTCTTAGTGGAGAGGCTTTAGAGGCTGTATGTAAGAGAAACTGTATTCCCCACCAGTAGGGCTGTTTTCATGGCAGACTGGGAGGTGCTTGCATAGCTGCTGATACTGCTATGCAATGTGTGGATTGTTGTCTGGGTTGAAATCCTAACAGATTTAAGGAGATCAGTTAAGGAAATGAGTGTCATGATCTATGTGAGAGTAGGTCAAGCTCAGAATTATATTTTAAGTGCTGTTTCGGTGTGAATGGCTGCACGTCTTTCAAAATAAAATGATTTGGGGGCTGTTTCATAAACATGCCTCCCTGGAGGGGAAGGTCAATGCTGGTCTTTGTACGAGACAGTGTTGAGTCACATTGGGGTGGGCTCTGGATGGGATCATGTGAAATTTAATTAAAAATTAACACTTATATGTCCAAATCCTCAATATCAGTTGCTGAGAATAATATTTCCTATTTTTACTTGGTTGTTTGTGGGATTTTTTTCTTTCTTTCTTTTTCAAGTCATCGCACAGCACAGTTAAATGGTTCCTAGGGTAACTTATTGCATAAACACACTTTTATATTATATGAAACAGTTCTTCCTATTTAAGTGATTTCTTAAATGGGTGCAAAGAGTAATTTATGTTTTAACTCAGAAATAAAAAATGGATAAAATCATTAAAGTTAAATGGTAACGGGCAAGATGAACTGCCTATGGGGACAATAAACTATTTTCTGAATTTGAAGGGCACATTTGGGAAATAATCCATGCCTTCATAGTGATAGTGGAGGTTTTATGGTTATCAAGAATTTCTTTTCAAATTTCCATGATTTTATTGCTTTCTGTTTAATTTTTACTTTTGATTTTTAATATTCTATGCATATCATGGAGCTTACAGTGAAATAATATCTTTATTAGCAACCTAGGACATGTTGTTGAAATGAAATAGTAGATAGAAACAGTGTGATAATTAAGTCACTTAGAAATCCAGGTAGCAGATGGTACAGTGACTATGATGGAGACGTGCTATGGGCAGAGCTGCTAATGAGGATGGTGCATTTCACAGCTGCTGTTCAGTGATGACTTCCACATGTCACACTGAAATTGTACAGACTTTGTTAACTCAACTATCATGAAGTGGTTGTTTTCCTCCTAGTTTACTAAGGTATGATGGACAAAATAAAAATTTTATATATTTGAAGTGTACAACTAATATTTTCATATATGTACACATTAAAATTATCACCAAAATGAAGGTAGTTAACATATCTATCATCTCACACAATTTTTTTTCTTTTGTCTGCTGAGAACACCAGCAGCTGGTGAAATCTGTCCTGGCAAATTTCAAGTGTACAAGACAATAAGTAACTATGTGCACATTGCTGTGCATTAGATCTACAGAGTTTGTTCATTTTAATAATAGTAATGCAGATTTTATGCACTCACCTCTTCTCCATCTCTTCAGCCACTGACAACCACCATTCTGTTCTCTCCTCTATGATTCTGATATTTTTTTATGACACATAAGTATCATCAAGCTGTGTTTGTCTTTCCGAGCCTGGATTATTTCACTTAGAATGATGCCCTCCAGGTG